GTGAATCCCATCTGAAAGCGAGGGCGGATCTTGTGAACGAGATCATCATTAGCGGGAAACACGAGAAGAAAACTCCCCGGCTCCTCCCTAAATGCTGTAGATATATCCTGAAGCTATGCATTTTGATGTTGTTTAAAGCGGTTTGGTCGGTCAAGTCATGTGCCCTTTTGTGTGTACGTGTGTGCACGAAACTAGGCATAGCAGTTCAGTTTTATGTGACAATGAGCCAAAATAAGATACCGTAAACTGATCTCAATCAGCTTTTACATGAACCTGCGCTCGAGTCTGTTCGCATGCGACCGCCGTGCATTTTGGATGCTAAAATTGGTCGATTATTGGGGTGAAGAAGAGATTCGAAGGTCGATCTCAACAGATCATAACCGATTACCGTTGTAGGGCAGCCCGTTTTAACCAGAAACGAGGGTGGATGTCTTGTGGACTGTGTCAATCTGGACTTCGTATTAAAGCCAAACGCCCACAGTACAACGCCAATCAGTCATCGTCTTCTGGTAAGATCCACCTTCAAAGCTCTTCTTCATGCTCTTTCATACGAAATGATAGTCTCTCCAACAGTGTTATGTCCGGAGATTCATCGAAACCAAGTTACTCTTCGTATCTGCAGAGTCGACTCATCGCACGTCAAAACATTTGCGGTAGCCAAGATGCTGCCAAGGAATGCAAACTTTACTCAAGTCAAACTTTTCTTTAATCGTTAAGACTAAAGCAGCATAATTAGCTTCGTTGTCATTATCATCCTCATCAGCACCAAAAAACGTATATTGTTTGTGTGTGTGTGTTGCGGTGTGTGTAGTAAATGAGTAGAGAAGTTGGGCTTCTGACAACCTCTTGGCTTCTAATTGTTGGGCCCACTGCCATTTCGACGCGCGTGATGAAGAGATTCGAGGTTGGATCCCACCGGAAGACGACGGCGGATCCATCTTTGCCCTGTTGGAATCTTCTGGATAGAGTTGTCTATGAGATGATCTTTGATTACGTTGGTGACGCGCCAAGCTTTTGCCCGACATGATATAAATTATCTTTAGTATCTAACACATCAAGAATGCTCACCATTTTGTCTCTAAATCTAGGCGTTATCACGAGTTATTGGGTTGATCAATTCAAGCCATATCTTCATCTTGACGCTTGTGCGTGCATGTATATGAACGAAACTAACAGTGGTAGTTTAGATTCGCCTTTCTACTTGTGATGAAATAAGCCTAAAAATATGATATTAAAAACCTATTTCGAAGATATTTCACATGAACTTGTGATCGAGCCTCTTCGCATGGGACTGCTGAGCTTTTTTCATCTTGACGTCGATCCTTTTTACCTCAAAACAGTTGCGATATTGCGAATGCTCGCAAGGAGTGTCTTATCACACACTTTGGTCGTGGAGACTGGTGGCGCGTGAGGAACTCTACCATCATCATCAACAACAAAATCACCATTATCAACATAAGCTCACAGAAAAGTGAATTTGTGTGGGTTGTTGTGTGTCTGTCTACGAGGCGCTTGCCTATTCTCTACCTGCTGCCCTATGTTGTTCCATCCCAAGTGGTACGTATGAGGAAAGTTGGCCTTCAAGGGATCCCTTGGTTTATAATTGTTGGACTTCCTTCCTTTTTCGAGTGAAATGGGGCGTGATTAAGATATCCCATCCGAAGATGACGACGGTTTCCTCTCCGCCAGCCACCATTTGGCTTTACTGGAAGACAATATCATCCGATTTTCAGTGAAGACGTTCTAACTTTTCGTTCGTCAAATCATTTTGACGGGCATCATCAGGGCAGGTTATCGTTTAACCATATTCAAGTTACCGATTTAAAAAAACTTGCCGACATCCCTTTAGATATACCCTAAACTGTGCATTCTGATGGTATATAACCATAAATATAGTCGGATTGTATGAAAGACGAAAACTCGGCACGCTTTCACCGGACTTAAACGAGATTGCCTCAAAGACAGTGTCAGTAATAGCGTTCCAGCAGAGCCAACCGACATTTGGTTAAG